TTTCCTACTCCTCTGATGCTGCTTGGCCTGCTGTGTTCCTACAGCTCCGCACTGTATTATCTCTGACTCCAGCATCAGCTGTTCTTACTATCTCCGAGTGCAAATTTAGAGTTGGAAGAAGCCTAATTGCAGTGACTGGGAAAGTGATCTTAGTTTAAAAGCCATTAGGTTCAGCACATTTATTCAAATTCTCTGAAAGAATTATTTTTTAGTCACGTTGCTCCTGTTCACATATCTTTACAATTTTTTAAAACGTTTCAAACATTGGTATTAGAAGATATGTGAGATAACATATTCTTCTGCCCCACACATCTCAAATATTCAGGAAGGAACTACACAAGTTTGAATAATTAGATTAACCATTCTATTTGTTAGTAGTCCACTGAAGTTTTCATTTTTTTAAAAACTTGGTCCATCTTCCCTTCAATATTTTTAATTGAATTACACAATAAGCATCAATAGTTGTCTCTATTGAAGAGACTTTTCTTGTAATTATTCCTTTTCTTGTAATTATTCCTTTTCTTGTAATAAGTCCACACTTGCTGTTCTTTTTTTTAACACCATGTGAAAAAGCGCTGAACTTATCTTTTTAGCTCAGGCCTAAATGTAAGAAATGAGTACACTAATTTTTCTTATCAGAATTTATTCATATTTAGTGTGTCACATTACTAGATTCTGTTTCACCAAGATAGCCTAGTAAAGCATACTTACAAAAGTAAGACTAACTTGTGCACCTCAATAAATGTAATACAAAATACAATGTGGTACAAATAAGTTTTTGAAAAATTAATGCCAACTTTGGAAAAGGACTTGCATGACACCAACATAAAGATCTATAGATTGGTGGACCCAGAGTTAGATTCTCCCAGTCCTGAGTTCCTACTCAGTGATTTTGCTGTAAGGAAATACTGAGCAGTTGCCTGATGCCTCACCAGTGGCCAGAAAAGAGAATCAGACAGTGATCATGACAATTTGATCCAAAAATATTTTAAAATTACTTGAGCAATTTTTATATTTTTGTTTCTAATTCCAACCCATCTCTCACTTTCACGAGATCCGAGCCCAATTCATCTCTTCCTTTCCTTGATTTCTCTATCACCTTTTCTGGAACAGGCTATCAATAAATATTCACTATTACCTAAGGTAATATACAATACTGCAGGTGCTATAAATTTGAAATAAGAAAAAAGGAGCCGGAAAAACTCATCAATCAAGAGCATCTATGTAGAGAGACAGAATTAACATTACAAGACCATTGACCTGAAACATTAACGCGTTTTATTTCCACAGATGTTGCCTAACGTTGAGTTTTTCTAGCTTTTTTATTCATTATAACTCCACTGACTGCCATAGTTACTTCGACTAAACGTCCTTACATTTTACTTCCTGTAAAGATTTCATTCCATTCTTCTAGTTTTTCTGTCTCTAAGTATCGATTCAGATGTCACAACTTTTTACGCCAGTACTTCTGATATGTCTTCTCTTCTTTTCCTCAACCAAGGATCCCTGTCCAAAGTGGTTGCCAGGGCCCTTGACTATGAGCAACCCATTTCCCACATGTCTGTTCTCACCCCTTCTTCTCCCTCCCAGAACTATAATGAGGCTGTCACTGTCTTCACCTCCAATCCCACCAACCTCTGTATTCAACAGAATACCAGCATAATGCTACCATCAAACAGACTTTCCCCTCTCATTATTTTGCATTACAAAAGAACTGTTTCCTCTGACACCCTGGTCAACTCCACAATCACCCTCTACACCCTACACCCTTCCAAGATACATTTTCATGTCAGCATACCTGTACCTGTACTTCTACCTCTTCTCTCCTCAACACCCATGGCCTCAAGTTGTACTTCCCAGTGATGTACATGTTCTTTCAATTTAGTGTACTGTATTTATTACCCAATACTATCTGCTCAACAGTTGGAGGATCAAATGCTGATACAACTTTGTGATAACTTTCATAGCATTTTTTGCTTTGATTTTGCTATTGCATTAAAGAAGGAAACTTTTAAGGGAGGGATAAAAATTACAAATTGTATACTGCAATATAACAAATAAATTCAAAGCCAATTTTTCCCATTGTGCTTTTATCTTTTAAAAACAGCTTTTTTTTTTTATTAACTCCTCACAGCTCTGCTATCAGTGCTTAGGAGTATGTTGGGAGTGGAAACCTATTCCCAGATCTTGGTTAATGTTTCTTTCTATGTAGTGATTTTTTGATACTTTGCAAGAGTTGCTTGTAAATTCATTACGTTTCCCTTTCATAGATGTGATAAACTACTTGGTATCCACTTGATGCTTTGCACAGATACTATGAACAAGAAATTGGTAAGTTTCATGTGCAAAATTATGGGGGCACCAAATTATGATAACACACAATACACACCATAGTGTTAAAATGTTTATGATAATTAATTGACAGTTTACACATAGACACAACTGTCAATGATCCCAAGGGTATACTTGAACATAGAATAGCAAAATATACAGAAAAAGATAATCAATGCAAAATAATTATACAACTCCACCAATTTATTATTTTTATGGAAATGTGAGTTTCTGAAGCATAGAAGTTAATTATATTTAGATAAGATAGCATAATTCAATCTCAATTTCAAAGTAATTCATTCTGTCCTTACCTTTATATTTCATATATTATACCTTAGAAATTCCTATGTCCACACTCAACGGAAATTACCAACACAAGCTTGACATTTTATAATTCTCGCTATTAATATATTTGATGCAGCAAAATCCAAGTACTTTAAGCCAACTTCAACAGGCTGCTGCCAAAGTACCAACAACACATTTCATGCCTCAGGGCCATATGAAACTCAAGAGCACAAAAAGGACATGTTGCATAGAGACATTGTTAACAGCATTCTTTTCTATTCCACAAGCACAGCACATGTTATTGGAGTCAGCAGAGACTTGAAGGAGGAGACAATATGTGTAGATGCAGTATCAAATCGGTCCAATGCAGCACAATCTCCATTAGGGCAAATGCTCTCATATTGAATAGACATAAGGCATAGTTCTAATGGGTGGCACCACTGGTGAGAAGGGAGTAGGTGACAGAGGCAACAACAGCTATGCCTACTTTCCATCAGAATAATGATGGCATGCCCAGCAATGCTTAATTCTACAAAGATGCTGAGGTTCATTGGTCATCAATGAAACAGGTGCTTAGAGAACAGGAAACTTGCAGAGTCCCTAAAGCATTGCAACAAACCAACCTTGACAGGCACTGGGCTTGTGGGGACAGATGGCTCAGAGATACAAAGATCAGTGGACAGGTTACAGACAGCTCCTCCATAGCAGGGGAGTGGAGCTGAGCCATGAAAACGTTGAGGAGCAAATTGCTAAAATGATGGCATTTGCTCAAGGCTGTTCTGGCCATGACCCTGACATTGTCGAAGGAAACAATGACAGAGGCATAAAGGTTAAAGTGCGTTCTGTACTAGCATCTCAAGGATCCCTCAACTTAGAAGTAGCCTCATGGACATTTAGTGCACTAGAGTCAGAAGGCCAGCAGGCTGCTCCACATCATCTCAAAAACATTGGTTTTTCTCATTCTTTCACAGGGTGTGGGTATCTCTAGCTAGGCCAGTATTTATTGCACATCCCTAATTGTCCTTGAGAAAGTGGTGGCGAGGCATTTCATGGACTGCTGCAGTTTACATAGTTTAGGTACACCCACAATGTGGAAACAACCATGAGTGAACACATAAAAGAAAAATAACCTGTACTTATATAGTGCTTTCCACAAAACAGTGGATGTCTCAGAGCCTTTTACAGCTAATTTAGATTTTTGAAGTGTAGTCACTTCAGCAACAATTTTGTGCTCAATGCTTTTACTAAGGGCCATTCATAGGATTGGCTGGAGGCACTTGTGGGATCTTGCAAACTGCTGCTCCTCATTGTATAAGGCAAGCAATGGATATCCTATTTATAATAACTATAGAGGCCTGTTTTTTGAAGACAAAAAGAGCATGCATGCACTGCACCTGTTTCAACTCAGCAAAATGGCGACAACCAATGGTTCATTTCTCAAGATAATGTTATAACCAATCAGAATTGACATGCCTGGTTTAAAATTTAAACAAGGCCTGGCAGTTAACTATCAATCAGCATTAATGGTGTGGAGTGGAGATGAGCCATGAAAGCGTTGAGCAGCAAATTGCTAAAATGATGATGTTTGCTGAAGGCTGTTCTGACCATGACCCTGACATTGTCGAAGGAAACAATGACAGAGGCATAAAGGTTAAAGTGCATTCTGTACTAGCACCTCAAGAATGCACTCTCTTTGACAATGCCTATACCGAAGTTGATTTGCAAACCAATCAGCACTCTCCTCTCATGCAGTATAAATGATAGTTTTCCATTTGAATTGATATTTCTTGTGAATTGTTCTAATGAGTACAAAGCGAAAAACTTTGACAAAATGTGTCTTTTCTCAGCAGTCATTTTATTTGTGTTCTTGCTTTACTGCAGCTAGCAAGCTGCTGAAGCTTCAATATCCCTATCTGCCTTCAACAAAATTCCCACATTAAATTAGTGTTAATAACACCTTAACCACCTAAAATGAACACTGGGCCAGCAAGCTCCAGTTACCACCCTGTAAAAACTGATCAGCAGCGGTAAGATATCAGGATGCATATCTGACATGTTCTCTCACAACTTTCCCATCTCACTGGCCCATCTCCAAAGGGCCTGGAAATTTCAGATCTCATTTCTGTTGCTTGAAACAAAGTCATGTTGACAATGGCTCCACTCATATACAAAAAAGAACCATGTCAACTATTGATAGGAACAAGGAGCCTAAGACCAGAATTATTCTTTTAAATCAAAACAGTTTTGCAATATTAATTCATCAACAGCTTATTATATAATTGTATTTTAGGCAAAATTATCATTTCACTTCCAAATGCTCTGTTTGGCTATGTGCTGTATAAATAATAGTAACTTAAATCAAAATATTTAGATCATGCATGTACCTGCCAAGGCTAGTCTGTGTTGATAGAGAGCCCACATATTCCCTTATCCTAGTAGGCAGGATCATCCTCTCTCCAGCACATTCTGGGCTCTTATTTGCTAAGATTTTCATATTAAAATGTGATAAGGCAGATTCATCAGCATCATGTGAGAAGTCTTTAATGTTGAGAGAGGAATCTGAATTTAATCTCTTTACAGCTGCAAGACAAACAAAAACACTGTATAATTTGGCTTGAATCCTCAATCTGACACCTAGGGACCATATTTCATTATCACGTTGGGAAATTTTCCAATTTGGCAGAATCAGAATCAACTTCACTCCGAAAATCTAACTCCCCCAGACCCCAATATTGACATAAATACAAGGAAGGGGTACAGCGTACATCAGTGGCTAGGAAAACATTTGGGAAGAGGAGGTTTGCTGTATGGGATGGCAGAAAGGCTTTAGTTATGTTTTTGCATTGTATCTGGTTTTATAGTTGTCCAGGCTACAGTGGGGTGGAGGTAATCTGAAGGAAGAGGTGGCGCAGGGAAGAGGTGCCACAATACAACAGTGGGATAGAGATTTCAGAAGATGATGTGCTTGAGGGAACAGCAGAAGTACTTACATACCTTCCAGCCCAAAGTGGAAACATAATTTCCTGCGAGATCTGACAATTTCTGCTTCCAACTGCCAGTGTCTCATTCCTTAGGAAACTCAAATCATAGTGTAACATCCAAATAGTTGCTAAAATATGAAGCGCTGAGCCTCATTTAAATATTTTAATCTCTGCTCTGCTTCTCCAGCATGAGCTGTACGGATACCAACAAAATTGCCATTCTAAAACTGGAAGTAGCTACATTCAGGATTCATTGAGTTTGGACTTCACGTTTTAGTAATTTATATACCTTCTTCCCAGTCAATTGTGGGGGACTTGATTTGATTTGATTAGACTTATTTATTACTGTCACATGTACTGAGACACGTGAAAGGTATTGTTTTGTGTGCTAACCATACAAATCATACCTTACATAAGTACATCAGGGCAACAGAACAGAATGCAGAATATAGTGTTACAGCTAGAAAGATGAAGAGAAAGATCACCTTTAATAGATCAGAGGTCCATTCATAAGTCTGATAACAGTGGAAAAGAAACTGTTCTTCAATCTGTTGGTATGTGTTTCAAACTTTTGCATCTTTGGCCCAATGGAGGAGAGTATAACCAAGGTGGGAGGGGTCTTTGATTATGTTGACTGCTTTCCTAAGGCAGCTGAAAGTGTTGATGGAGTCAATGGAAGGAAGGCTGATTTTTGTGATGGGCTGGGCTGCATTCATAATTCTCTGTAATTTCTTGCAGTCTTGGGTAAAGCAGTTGCCATACCGAGTTGCGATGCATTCAGACAGAATGCTTTCTATGGTGTAGCTATAAAAATTGGTAACAGCCTTTGTGGGCATGCTGAATTTCCTTCGCCTTCTGAAGAAGTAGAGGCATTGGTGTGCTTTCCTGACTGTAAACAATTAGGCAGAAGATACAAATGTTTGAAAATATCTACCAACAGATTCAAGAACAATTTCTTCCCCACTGTTATCAGACTTATGAATGCACCTCTGATTTATTAGAGATGATCTTTCTCTGCATTCTCTCTGTAGCTGTAACACTATATTCTGCATTCAGTTCTATTACCTTGATGTACTTATGTAAGCTATGACTTGTCTGGTTAGCATACAAAACAATATCTTCACTGTATCGCAGTACATGAGATAATAATAAATCAAATCTAATCAAATCAAGTCCCCTATGATTGGCTGGGAAGAAGGTTTATAAATTACTAGAAATTGAAGCCCAAACTCAATGAGCCCTGAATGTATCTACTTCCAGTATCGACAAGGATACATTGTTGGTGGTATTTACTCTTTAGGAACTTGAAGCTCTTGACTGCCTCCACCTCAGCACCATTCATACAGACAGAGACAAGTCCTCCATTCCGCTTCCTGAAGCTGATGACCAGCTCCTTCATTTTGCTGACATTGAGGGAGAGATTGTTGTCTTTACACTACGCCAGTGGGCTGTCTATCTCTTTCCTATACTCTGTCTTGTTGGTTTTTTGAGATCTGGCCCACTACAGTGGTGTTATCAACAAATTTGTAAATGCAGTTAGAGCTGAATTTGGCCACACAGTCATGATTGGACAAGGAGTATAATAAGGGGCTGAGTACACAGCCACAGGGGCACCAAGGTTGAGGATTATTGTGGTGGTGTTGTCGCCTATCCTTACCGATTGCAGTTTGCATTTCAGGAAGTCAAGGATCTAGTTGCAGAGCGGGGTGTAGAGTTCTAGATCTCAAAGTTTGGAGATGAGTTTTCTTAGAATTCTGGTGATAAAGGCAGAGCTAAAGTCAATAAATAGGAGTCTGACATAGGTGTCCTTCTTATCCAGTTGTTCCAGGGATGAGTCTAGGACCAGCCAGGGAGAGGGCATTTGCCATAGACTAATTGTGATGGTAGGCGAATTGTAGTGGATGAAAGCAATCTGGGAGGCAGGAGTTGATGTGTGCCATTACTAACTTCTCAAAGCATTTCATAATAATGGATGTCAGAGCTATCAGGTGGTTGTCATTAAGGCGTATTGCCTGACTTTTCTTTGGCACCAAGAAGATAGTGGTCTCCTTGAAGCAGATGGGAACCTCACATTATTGTAAGAGAGGTTAAAGATGTCTGCAAGTACTCTCGCCAGCTGGTCCATGCAGGATTTGAGTGCACAGCGAGGGACTCCTTCTGGGCCAGTCGGTTTCCATTGGTTCACCCCCACATAGGCTGATCTGACATCTGCAGTGGCGACTGTGGGTACAGGTGCATCCAAGGCTGTCAGGGTAGTTGACATCATTTCACTGACCTTCTGTTCTTAACAAGCATAGAATGCATTGAGCTCATCAGGAATTCTATTCGACTTCACTTTGAAGCCCGTTATATCATGTAAGCCTTGCCACAGTTGACAAGTGCTCGGGTGGTTAGTCTGGGATTCTAGTTTAATCTGGTATCGTTTCGTGGGATCCCAATGGCTTTTCAAAGATTGTACCTAGATTTCCTGTGTAGGTCATGGTCACCCGACTTGAATGCCTCAGACCTGGGCTTCAGTAGGGAGTGGATCTTCTGGTTCATGCATGGTCTCTGGGTGGGGAACACTCAGATTAACACTCTTGGAATGCAATCCTCTATACACTTACTAATGAAGTCTGTGATGGTAGTGGCGTATTCATTTAGGTTGCCTGCCGAGTTCTTGACTCCAGACTAGCCCAGCAACTCCAAGCAGTCACGTTTGAGCTTGTCTGTTACCACAGACCAGCACTGTAGACTTTCAGTACCGGATCGTCATGCATCAGTTTTTGCTTGTATGCCAGCAGAAGGAGCAGAGCCTTATGGTCTAATTTACCAAAATGTGGGCAGGGAATCGAGCAGTAGGTGTCTTTGATGGTTGTGTAGCAATGGTCCAGGCTGTTTGGGCCTGTGGTGGGACAGAAGACGTGTTGATGTATCTTAGTAGGACACCCTTGAGGTTGGCCTGGTTGAAGTCACTGACTACGGTAAACAAGGCGTCGGTATATTCCATCTCAAGGCTATTTATAATGGTGTATATTTCATCAAGTACGCTCTTCACTTCAGCATGGGGATTAAAATTCACCCATTATAATACATGAACACAGTAGGAACATACATCAAAATAGCAGAACTGATTGTAACTTAGTAAAATCATAGGTCAAATTTAGTAGCATTCCGAGTATATGGCAAATGAAGAAATTTTGGAAAGGCAGTTCTTGTCTGGGTGTATCACTGCATTTTAAAGATGGTGCAGACACTGGGGATGCTTTGGTCAGATATCCAGCGAGTGGCGACTTGTTCAAGAAATGCTACATCATAAAAATTCAGACATGAATGATGCCATAGATGAGTAGCAAATAATTAATGAGGCAAGTTTGATAAGATAGGGTGAGAAACCCTCCTAAAAACATGAAGCACCAGATTAGCCAGAAAAAAGTATGATTGAACAGTCTGTTTCCACTGCTTTTTGAGACTGTGTTCTAAAGACTTATGACTTTCTTAGAGAAAAAGACATTCTCCTTATCTCTGTATCCAGTGGACAACACCTTATTTTTAAGACCTCTGGTTCTAGATCCTCCATCAAGAAACACCCTTTTACATGCACCCTATCAATATTCCTCATGATCTTCTGTATTTCGATCAATCACCACTCACTTTATTAAACTCCAGCAGATACAAGCCTGACCTGTCCTACCTTCCCTTATAAGACAAAAAGCCCAATCCAGTTATTTGTATAATAAACCTTCTCCAAACTGTTTCCATTGCACTTATATTCTTCTTGAAGTAAGGAGACCGGTACTATGCACTGTGGTCTAGATACGGTCTCACCAATGAATACCTGAAATATAATCTCCCTACTTTTGCATTCAGTTCCCCGCACAACAAATGATAACATTCTAGTAGGTTTCTTTATCTGCATTTTAATGCATTGAAATTCATGCACTAGGAAAACCCAAATCTCTTCATCTTAGAGGTCTGCGATCTCTCAACATGCAACATAGAACAGTACAGCACAGTACAGGCCCTTCAGCCCACGATGTTGTGCCAAACTTTTACCCTAAAACTAAGGGCTATCTAACCTCCACCCCTACCTTATACTATCATCCATAAGCCTGTCTATTAGCCGCTTAAATGCCACTAATGAAGCCGACTCCACTACCCTCTGCATTCTCTGACGTCTCCCCTATATCTACCTCCACTTACTTTAAAACTATGCCCCCTCGTAATAAGTACCTCAACCCTAGGAAAAAGTCTCTGGCTGTCCACTCTATCTATACCTCTGATCATTCTGTACACCTCTATCAAGTCACCTCTCATCCTTCGTTGTTCTAAAGAGAAAAGCCCTAGGTTTTCTTTTATTCATTCACGGGATGTGGGCATCGCTGGCCAGGCAGCATTTACTGCCCATCCCTAATTGCCCAGAGGGCAGTTCAGAGTCAACCACATTGCTGTGGGTCTGGAGTCACATGTTGGCCAGACCAGGTAAGGGTGGCAGTTTCCTTCCCTAAAGGACATTAGTGAAGCAGGCGGTTTTTTCCAACAATTGACAATGGATTCATGGTCATCGTTAGATTCTTAATTCCAGGTATTTATTGAATTCAAATTCCACCATCTGCCGTG